ATTATTTGGGGGAATAAGAAAATTAGAAAAACGCTGGACTAAATGTATTGCACTAAAAGGTGATTATGTGGAAAAATAAAATGTTTATTTGCCGAAAAAATTTGTTTTATTCAAAAAGTCACTGGCTTATCAAACCGCCCTCGTATATCTACAATTTATTGCTAGTAATATAATAAAATTTTACACAAGATTACGTATAATACTTGTAGTTAGTTTATTCTTATTTAATTCATTAAATTGATACTTTGTATATAATTTTAAATAGTTTAATTTTTTTTTAAATTTTTACATGAGTAAATATAAAGAAAATAAAAGCAAATACGTAAAAATAAAGATGAATGTAAATCCATCTTTACGGGTACTATGATTGCTACCACTTACTTCACAAATATATCTTAGAGAAAGATTTTAAGCTCCTTGCAATCGAAAATTCACTGCGCATATAAAATCATTTAGGTGTTCATATTTATGGCTCACATACCTCCACATCATACCAGTGCTTATTTAAATCCCAGCTTAAGTATCTTTAGCAACTATTCTATAACAGTTCTTAGGAATTACATCAATCCGTATATGAAGTTCTGCATAATGCACAGAATGTACATTTGACATTTGTTTGGCATAAGGAATTTAATGCCTACGCAATGGTTATGTTTGTTTTGTAAATATGTTTTAATAGAAAAAAAATATCTTATAGTTTATATAAAAAAATAAATCATCACAAAAAAAAAACTGTAAATAAATTATTTATGTGCGTTTAAATTTACGCAGCGGTGAATGAAAATTAGATCTGGTAAACTCATGCTATTATCCCAAAAACGGCTTTAAGCTAAAAATATATTTTTCGTAACAAAATATTTATTTTTCTACGAAATTTTTAATTTTTAGAAAAAAAAAGATTGGATGAATATAAATATTTTCTAAGGAAATATCTGCTTGAAATATAAAACATTTCTCAAAGAAAAGATAGTTAAACCAATTTTTTTCAGGAAATATTATGGATTAAATTTAATAACAAAAAAGATAAAAATATTTCAAATTTAAAAAAAAAGGAAGAGAAGCACATATAACAATTTGTTGATTTTAAAAACGAAAACCAATTCCATTGATTAAAGCTTTTATAGCATTTTCTTCCACAATTTCGACAAGGTTTTCCTATGTCATTGGTAGAATTGAAAATCCTATTCAATGCTTGGTTATATATTCTTTGGGGAAGACCATTGCATTTTTCGCAAATATATTTATTATTTTGTTGGTACAAGTAATTTTTAAAATGTGCTTGATTTCAAGTCAAGTTCAAATTGTTTTAAAAAAATTAACAATTTTCTAAACAAACATTTCCATATTTTTATTGAATTCTTGGAAGGATGAGTTAACTTGACACAGGATTACGTACACATCAATAAGAAAATTCCTTCAAATATAAAAGGAATAAGTAAGCTACGGGAGTCAAGGAAGAACATTTTCATTTCCTAACAATTTCTATTTTTCTTTCCTTTTCCCCTATATTTTTTCTTATATTTTTTTGTGCATTATACTCCAATCATTTTATTCAACACATGTCAATTACAACTTGACTTTATTTTGACATGTTTAGATAAAGTATATTTATTCACGTATAAAGTGAAAGTACATGCTCTGATAATAACAAATAAACTGCGAACAAGTGACAGAAGAGTCCAAAGGTATATACAATATACTATATGTATACCATAAGTAATAAATCAGTTTAATATGACATCCTACAAGGTAGGATAACATCGTCAGTTTTTATCAAAGCTGCTATTTGACATGTTTGAAGAAATAGATTTGTAAGCGAAAATGCGAATTTATTTGATAAGTTTGATTTGCTTTTTCAAGGAATAGCAATGTGATGAAATACAGTAAGGATTTTCTATTTATTTTATTCTGCACACTCATTCTAGAAAATATTTAATATTCTCGACTAGTTCTAGATTAACTTTAAAATATTTCGCATTTGCTTAAAGAAAGTTAGTAGAAATCAGAACAAAAATGGGAGAAACCACCTTATACAAAATTGAATACATACTTCAAATACTCTCAAGTTTTGAAAATTTCTTGACAAATCCTGCAAATAGTTCTACATATAGTTCTCTCTTAATATTGTGAATTATTTATGAGTTTAGTGCAAATTTAGTGCAATATAATTTATTTATTATATATATGTATGTGCTATGTAGTCGTGTAGTAGTCACACGCACCGTCTCTAATAGAAACAATGTATTAACTTTTGTCAGTGAATATGTTTGATTTTAATTTATTCAAAATAAATTGCTCTCAATCCGCAAAAGCTTCTGAACTCAAACTGTATTCAAATGTATTTGTATTATTTTTTAAAATCAACAACCAAAAATTTTATTCATATTACAACAGAGATTACAAAATGTCTAAACTCTGAACTCTAAACATTGTTTGGAGTTATACCATAGAATAGGTGAACAGAATAATAATGCTTCGTTCTTGTGAACATAATTACACCTTAGATTCTGTTTTTCTTTTCGTTGATCATGAGATGTGTTTTATTTCTTCGATGGTATGCTTCTAATCTGTGAAGAGTTAAGGGTGGAAGCAACCCACCCTGCAACTCTTTTGGCTCTAATACCTCTTTCTAATTTTAGTTGCAATATTTTACCGTATAAATAATAAGCACAGAATATTCAATTTTCAAGGTTTTAATCTCTTTTGGCAGCTCTATTTCCTATTACATTCTTCTGAGTGACATCGCAATGCACACTTTGTTAGTCCAAGATATTTTTTTAGCAAGCAACCATAGCACCGCATGTTAACGGCTTTAGTAAGTTAATGGTTGATATTTTTTGTTAACAAATTTCTGTCTTGTAACGTAAAATAGAACACATAAAGCTCTTTATATATATTTGGTTTAGGTTAAACTCTTGATTAGTTAGTATCAAGAAAAATGACAGGAAGATACTTCTGATAATTTGTAACTTATACTTGACTTTCTTATAATATTTATCTTATCATCTCTTAATCTTTTGATATTATTCTAGCCAAAATTAAAGATATTTATATTTCTAGATATGATCAATGTTTTGATTATATTTTATAATGCTTGCATCACATCTAAAACATCTACGGTGTTGATTTGCAAGCCAAAAGCATTGACCAGATCTATCTCTGCAGGAATACAAGTATTAGCTGCTTGTTTTAATACGTTTGCTGCTTATGCTTAAAAAGGTTTAAATGATTATGAATAGTAACAATGATGCTGATAGTGTATGCACTTGTCCTACGCCACCTATTCATAGACACAAGATCAGTTAAGACACTGCTAATGTCAGTGGTCGGGCTTCAATCAACTGTTGAAATGCACTGAACATCTTTAACATCGTTATCCATAGTTCGAAGTATATTAAATAATTTACCATGTAGCACCATATCAAGATGTCTTTTCGTATATCTTTATAGTTTTAAGTTGGATACTCTAATATGTACTATGTCTCAGATTCTGGAATGGTGAATATGGTTTATTCTGGTAAATAAACCCGATTCACTATTATTTAAAAAGTTAACTACGAGTTGATACGAATGGGGTTCTATTCTGTTGAAATACCTACAACTGAGCTTATTTCTTTTTTTGTCATAATGGAAATCTGAAATATTTGTGGAGTTCGCAATTTATTATTTACTACTCATCAATAGTTATTTGTCATAGTACATTCGATTGAACTTTTGATTTCGCATAATATAAATTGAGAATATTAAAACACCTGACGTTTCTTAAAAAATAAAAAATCTACTTCCCTTAAAAACTGAAAGTGTGTTCTTTTTGGTCAAATAAACTTTAATCAATGTTATCTGTTTCTAAGCTCTGACCATGCACCGAATCTTTAAAGGTGATTCATCAATCTGACTATTACAAAAATTATTCTTTTTTATCTATGAATTATACAAAGTCATTTAATCTTTATCAAATCTTGTTTATGTTGCTGATTTGTGAAATACTCGACAAATAATTCAACAAACGAAATTAATAAGAAAAAATATATAAAATTTTTATAGAAAATCCGTTTTTCACTTCATTTTTTTTTTTCAAAGATAAAGCAATAAAATAATGTTCACCATAGTCCCGAGTAGAAATTAATTTTTCATTTGTCATGATAAATGTAGCTCAACATTACTTCTTAATGTCTGCAGGCGTTCAAGAATATTGGTTTCTTTTCGGGAAGTATTAGCAGCAGACAGCTTGGCTGCACCACATGTGTGTGATTAAGCTTAAGCATTGAGGACATGAATAAATCCGAAAATTTGATTAATGTTCGTTGACAGTAAAAAGAAAGCGAAAAGCTCCTGGGACTTACATGATAAACATTGAATCCTTTGGTATCAGAAGGCAGAACTAACAGTAAAATTAGATTAATTTTTTATTACACACAAAAAAAAAACAAAACATTACAGAATAACAAATGTTAAAGAAATTGTTATTAAGCCTTTTACTACAAAATTCAGATGCTTGTTAATAGTGCGGAGTACCATTTGCTTATATATCAGAAAATAAATATGTATTTATTTTGTAGAGTATATGTATGTATCAATTTTTGTTAAGTTATATTCAATGAACTCAAATTTTTTAAAATTATGTATAAGAATTTGAATGCATACAAAATTTAAATGAATT